AAGAAACATAAAATCGCTAAAACAATACTAATAAATAATAATAATAAACAATAAACAATAATACTATAATAATAAAATAATTATTCTATCTAGATGATCGTTGCAACTTCAACTCACTTAACTATAACCGATAGAGCTTCTGATTCAAATAAGTGTCCTCTCAAAGTGTCTTTAATAGGAACTCCACAAGAAAAGCCAGCTGCAATTGACAATACACAAAATTCTGTAATTGAAATGCTCATATCTGATTATATTAGTCAAGATTATAAATATGCAATCTATGTAGTTTTTCCACATGACAACCCACGGTTTGAACATTTTAAAACTTCTATCCAACCACAAGAATCGATTATTTTTGTGGTTGGTCAAATAGAAGTTATAGATAATAAATTTTATGTCAGTGCAAAAGACATTACTTACATTAATATTAATATTTTAAAAAAAAATTCTGACTCAGAACACCAAGTCCAATCAATTCCGCCTAACTCAACAAGATCTAAACTTTTACACATCCACCAGAGTATTACTAAAAACTCAAAAGATGCACCAATTATTCAGACATCACCAATAACTATTTCAAGTGATATCGAATGCGAACCTTCAGCAAAACGTAGAAGATCTAATCAAAGTGACCAACTTATTGATGAAGAATTTGCTAACAATAATGATAGTAAATCTGATCAAGAAGACCCTAAAAAACCATCCAAAAAAAGCAAATCACAAAAAAATCATACACCAAATCGAACAAAAAATAAAGAACGTCCTATTAGAACTACACGTACCAAAAACCCACATTATTTAGATATTGATAATGACTCTAATAAATAATAAGTTTTTATGTTATCTTCGAATATTTGATAAGTTTATATTATCTTATTTCGTTTAATGTACTATATTTGCTTACCTAAGTTAGCTTATATGTTTCAATTGAGTGTAACTTATCTAGATTTACTCTTTATTTTTTACCGTTGAAATTATTCTAATAACTTTTGTTATATCTATATTACATCACTATACAAAAACTCAAATAAATATTATTTTTTAATACATATTTCGCCTTAAACTGTGCACTCTAAAATTTAATTGTTCTCTTAAAAACATCTAAATTCTTATTTATATCAAAGTAGATAAAAACTTCAACTTTACAAACAAATATCCTAATTATAATATGAAATGCTAACGTTAAAAGCATGCTATATTACAATATAATCATCTAACCAGTTACAAACACTTTTAAATAAAATAGTATACTAATGCTGTAAAATATACCCATGTCATAAAATCAGCTCCACTCATAATTATTTAATAATATCTTCCCCGTAAATATAAAGCTGTTTACTGAATAAACTGGGTGGCACGAAGCACCACCTATTACACTAGTATATATTTAATTTCAGGTTTTAATTCTTTTTTTTTTGTTTTTTTTTGTTTTTTTTTTTTATTTCATTTTTTTTCTTTTTTTTTAATTTAATAATACTCTTATTAATAATTTTTTATTATTATAGTATTATTGTTTATTGTTTATTATTATTATTTATTAGTATTGTTTTAGCGATTTTATGTTTCTT